GGCAGAGTTAACACCCTCATCTTCACCTGCTTTTTTCAATAAAAATGCCACATAGTGGGATATTCCTGTCCTAGAGGCACCGAATGCAATGTGCACTTCAAAAGCATCTGGCCCGTTGTGCTGAAAAGGAGAAGTTGCAGCCTGTGCTCTTCCTGCTTGTAACGCCAGCAGAAAGGTATTTGTACTTGTAAATTAGCCTTTTATCTTGTACAATGATACTCACAACTGTGTGCTTCCATCACCTTGTTAAGCCTTCACCTTTACAGATGAGAATTTGGGAACTTAGTCCCAAGTCCATGGATCTCCCTGCCCCTGGGATGTAGCTTTCTGAGGCAGAGGTTTCGCCTTTTTCACCTGTTAGAATGGAAATGCAGAGTGAAAGTTAAGGTGGTAACATGTGGCTTAATAACTGTGTGTTGTTATATTCCATGGATTGTGTGTCGATAACTCAGGAGCACAGTCCCTGCTGGAGCAGCTGCCTCTCTGGGAAGGGGAGGCAGGGGAAGGTCTGCACAGTGACTGAGTCCCAGATGTCCCTTGTGATGACTCCTGTGAAATCCAGTGGCTGCCTGCAGGTGGCCTGGCCCTAGGAATAGGCTGGAGCCCCATAGTACAGCCCATGGTTACGTTAAGGATGTTGTGTGTGCACTTGGGAGCACAGCTCAGGGCAGTGACCATCCTGGGAAGCAGAGCCCTGGTTGTGGAGCAGGCAGTGATGTGGAGGTCATGAAGAGACATGAGGGATGCTGTAATCCACAGTGAACAGAGGTGTGATGTCGTGCTGAAAGCGTCTGGGACTACCAGAAATGGAAACTGGGATGACCAAAGGAGAAGAGCAGGTCCAAGGCACAGTCTGAAGAGCTGGTTGGAGCCGCAGTGATCTGCTGTGCCAGGGCCTGAAGCAGCAAACCACAGAGCAGAGGAGGCACCAGGAAGCACCTGCTGGAGCAGATGGCACCCGCTGAGCCCTCAGCCACCCCAGCGTGCTGGGGACAGGCAGGATGGCAGGCTGGGCCAGAAGAGCTTGTGCCACGTGCAATAAACCCAAGCACCTGATGGTGCTTTATCCTAAATGCTGTCGCAGACATGGTGAGGTACAATGGGAACCAACCCAGCCATCTGTGTGCTAGGCTTCCAGCCAGACCTTTACCAGACTTACCTTTGTTTAGGTAAGTATCGTACCATCTGTGTGCTAGGCTTCCAGCCAGACCTTCACCTTCTTGTTTAGGTAAGTATCGTGGTGTGACCAGTGGTGATTGTTACCTGTGGTATGTTGCTCTTCCACTGTTTCTCAGGATGTAGCAGTTTTTTGGGAAGGTAAGCATGGGCTGTGTGGTTTGTCTTGGACTTCTATTAGTCTTTACTCCAATTAGTGCTTTGATTGGCTTGTGTTGTGGTGTAGACAGTGATAAAGTTAACCATACAACTGCTGCAGGTTGGATGTGTCATCTTGTCTTTGTTGCTAAACACAAATCAGCTGAGGACACTTTTGCCTTTAGCCTCTCTATCCAAATAGGCTCACATTGTCCTCCCTAATTCTGATTGCTCATCTTTGTGTCTGTCTGTGGTGATAAAACTGAGTTGATTCAGACCAACTAGGTCTCACTCATCTCATTCAGGTACGTTACAGGGCTTGGAAAGGGTGCTCACCCAGGTGACTTGAATCAGACAAAGGTTTATTCCATGGTTTTGGTGGCAGAATATGAGGAAAGAGATGCAAAAATTGTAGTGTTGCTGTCTGTTTTCAGGGGAGTTCAGGAGATGTTTGGAGAGTGATTCAGAAGCTGGAATTTTCCTTAATATCACAAAGACTCCTGAAAAACAAATGAGGAATAGCTTTTTAGCCCTTCTGTCAGGCTTTTGTGGCAGTGAGCTGTGTGAGATGGCATGTAGCTTCACTGAGGTCACCTTTCTACTTCTCCCTCTCTGCATACTGACACAGTTATGTGCTCCCTGGCTGTTCAAGGCTGTGGTGTGCCTGGATGAGGCCCAGCATCCTCACAAGGGTCCTAAGGCTTGAGAGGAGACCTCTGTGCATCACCCAGAGCCTTGGAGAAGTGCTCTGTCAATTACTCAGAGGAGCCCTGGGGAGCAGTGTCCTCTCCCAGGGTGGATGGGGTTGCCTCAGTGGATGACTCAAACCAGTGAGGTCTTAAGGAGGAGATGGCAAGTGAGAGCAAGACGGACAAGGCTGGAGGCTGTGGGCAAAGAGCTGCAGGTGATTTAAATACTTACAAAAAACTGCATAAGCTGGTGGTGGTTCCTGCTGCTTGTACTGTGTGCAGGAGGTCTGGGGGTGATGCAGCAGGGAGTGTGCACGTGGCAGTGGAGCTGGGAGCAGCCCCACCAGCCCCATTTCATCCTCCTTCTGCACACGTGCGTTTTCCTCTTTGGACATCAAGCCATTTTAATTCTGACTTGAGCTTTATTTTGTGCAGTCACATCGTTTCAGAAGCGATTCAGTGTGATAAAATACCTCTGACCACAGGAGCACCCAAGTTAGATGGCTGTGGTTGCACTTGCACAGCATTAGGACCTCGTTCCCTAAATGAGCTTTTTGATTCCACCGAGCTTTCTACCACTTCCAAACCTGGCAGGTTTTATTCCATAATAGCTTCTTCCCCCAGCAGTCGTTTTGACTGTACCTTTGCCCAGTGTCTTGGTGCAGAGAAGAAGAGAGCATTGCAGTTCTCATCAAACCAAGTTTTATGAACAGTAGAGAAGAAACAGCAATTGTATTGCCCTAAAAAGAGCAAACTAAAAGCAAAAGCTGCTGGGCTCCTCAGTTACCATATTAAAGGGTTTTCCTTCTGCACCCATGGCTACATCCACCCCCCACTGCCCCCCCTCAAATCTCTACCCCTCAGGAAGCTTTATTCCTTTTCCTCTTCACTTTCCTTCCCTGAACTCCCTCCCACCTTCCTCCATCTTCCCATGTGTGCTCCTGCAAACTTCCTTAGCAGAGAGGATGAGGCAGAGACATAGCCCAGGGTTCTCCAGCCAGCGCCAGGGCGGCTCTGCGCCGTGTTCCTTCACCCTTCTGCCTCCCAGATGTGTCCCTAGGTGGGTGCTGCCTCAGAGCAGCCACCTCGCTGGCCAAGGGAGATAACAGGGCCTGCATGGGCCTCCTGTGCTGGTGAGCAGGGATGCAGATAGAGGGGAGTGCAGCAGCTCTGTGGGCTGGGTTTTCCCTTTTACATTTGTTTTTTGGCGGGAGATGTGTGTGTGTGTGTGAAGCAGATGACTGAGAAAACTGTGTATGTCCCCAAATTGATCTCACTGGAGGATCCTGATACTTAAGTGCTGTTACAGTATGAAGATACACACTTGCCTTTAAAAGGACTTCTATGCTGTCCAAATTTCGAAGCAAAGAGGGGTTTTTGTTGTTGGTTTTGGGGGTTTTCTTTTCCCCCTCCAGTGGAATAGATCTGTGTGGGAGCAGGAACATTTGACTTGGTCTTTGGTTTCTTCTAACCAGCCCCAAATTTTTCTGGAAGACTTATGTGTAGTCATTCCCTATCATAATTCCTCTAGGAAAATTGTAAAGTGTTGGAAAATGTTTCCTGTCTAACGCTGGTCCTCCTACTCTCAATGAATCACTTGTGCTCTTTTGTTGCTTTGGGCTGACTTCTCTATTGACTTCAGTGCCTGGGATTTAATTAGATATGTAGGGATGTTCTTTGGAGCTATAAAGCTACATAGGATTCTTCTCTGTGCAGCAGAATTACAGTAATAAAAAAAATTAAGAAAATTAAATATTTGCATATGTACTGTCCTTGGTGTGAACTGAAGAATTGCTCCATGTTTCTGCCTGCTCTACTCTTGCAGGCTCCTTTTATCCCATCCTCAGCACCTTCTCCCTTTCCAAACCTGGAAACAAAGCTCCAGCACAGCACAGGGCAGGGCACAAAGAAGGATGGGCTTCCCAGAGTATTTTATAGGGGAGAAATGACACCCAGGAATTCTTTGAATGTTCCCTGTAAGCGTGGGCCTTTCCTGTGCAGTCACAGTCCTCCATGGTGGAGCTTCTCCAGAGCCCAGGAAAACTCATCTTGGCTATTAAGGGGCTTGAATCCTGCACGTCTGACCTGGCTTTAGGGTGACAAGGAGCAGTTTTAGTCAGAGTGGGGCATGTTCATGGGCTCTTTTGCATTGATGCTGTTGTTTTGTGGTTGAAGACAACACCTGCACAAAGAGCAGCACTCTGTTTAAAAAAAAAAACCAACAGAACAGAGAGTTGCTGTCCACGCCCCTGGGGCTGCCCAGTTTAGGCTGTCAGGCAGGTCCTGTGCTGCTGGGCCCCACAGGGACATTATCTCCACCTCTCCCTTCCAGCCTCCCTGCTGCAACAGGCCGAGGGAGATAAGGAGCAGCAGCAGCTCTGTGCTCTGAACCTCCCCTGCCAGCATCATCCGACACATCCTTTGTCATTCCCCAAGAGGGAGTTGCCTTTGTAGAGATCATCTTCCCCTAAAGTACATCAAGCTGCTGTAAAGATGGGGGCTGAGGGTGGAGGGTTCCAGCCAGACCCAGGTTAGGATCACCAGTACCTGCTTCAGGTTTCAGGACTGAGCAGCCAGTGATGTTGAAAAGCTCCAATAATTTTTGCATGCAGAGAGAAGCTATTTTACCAACTGATGATATGTTGTAATAACACATGAGTTGTATGGACCATCAGAGTTTCATGTTAGTTTATAAAAATAAATAGCTTGTTTTCATATTTTTAATATGAACAACAATTCTAACAACCGACTCGTTTGGGCCAGGATTCATGGTTTTGAGCAGTTTATTCCATTTATGGAACAGCACAGAGGTGGGCAGGCAGAGCAAGGGCAAATACCTGTTCCTGAAACACTGCTAACCTGGCACGCCAGCAAACGTAGGGATCAGGCACTGCAAATAACCTTTGGCACACTTGCCAGCTTACTGGAATACCTTTCATTTTTCGCCTGATCTGTGTCATCCTTTGCTTGGGAGTGAAATCTTTCTCCTCCACGCAGAACATCTTACACACGTTTTGCATTGTTCTTTTTCCAGGTTAAAGAACTCGTCCTTGACAACTGTAGGTCATGCGAAGGCAAAATCGAAGGCCTTACAGATGAGTTTGAGGAGCTGGAATTCTTGAGTACAATCAACGTAGGCTTAGCCTCAGTTGCAAACTTACCAAAGTTAAACAAACTTAAGAAGGTAAATAAAATGTCCTGTGCCCTCTCCCTCCCTCTCTGCACTGCACTGCCTGTGTAGAATGGTTGTTTGTATGAAAATAATGTGATTTAGCTGACCAAACTGCTTTGGGATGCCTGTTTGCACTAAAAATCAAGGTGTTTCTGTGCTTTTTAGCTTGAGCTAAGCGACAACAGAATCTCAGGAGGACTGGAAGTGTTGGCAGAGAAGTGTCCGAACCTCACGTATCTAAATCTAAGCGGCAACAAACTAAAAGATCTCGGTACAATAGAACCTCTGGTAAGTTGATGTGGCATGGGGTGAGATCAAGGCCTATTTTGTGATGAGTAGAGGTGGTGTTCAGGCTTGATAAGTCCAAAGCAACTGGTAGTGGAGTGTCTTGGGGGCTTATCTCTCCACCCAGGGTGCATGGGGCAGAGCTGCCCTGGGGCTGGCTGGCGGCTCAAGCAGCTGCTTCCCTCTAGTGGCCCCAGGGCTGGGCAGAGGTTGCTGAGCTCCCAACTCTGTCCTGCTGGTGTCCTGCACCTCTGCTACTCAAGGTCATTATGCTTCTTACTTCAAGTGCTGAGATGAAGTTTGTCAGGTTGCAGTTCCAAAAAGCATCTAAGTGTCAATCCTGGTACTGCCATTTTCTAGTTTTTTGTATGTGTGTCCTTTGCTTTCCAGAAATGAAGAGTTTCAGCTCATGCATATTTCCCAAACACTTTATACTCAAGGTGTCTCAAGGAGCAGTTCTCAAATGAGTCCATCTTGGATCTCCTTTCCCCCCAGAAGAGGAGAGCAGAGCAGTTAAACTCATGTAGCAAACAGATGAGACAGGGGATTGTAACTGCCACCTATTTCAGGCTTATTGTCTTCTTGCTGTACCTGTTGGTCTACACAATAAACTCCAGAAGGGACATACTTCATACTACTTGACACAAATCCTCAGGTGCTTCTGCTTTTCTTGCTGGCACTTCAGAGTGCAGTGTGCAATGCAGACCACCTCCTCAAAAACTTTAAAAAAGGAAGAAAACCAGGAATTGAATTCCTGTCCTTCTTTTCATTTTCTCAAAAGCTAAGATACGATCATTCAAATTTAAAAAAATCTCTGTTAGCAAAATTCCTGTGTCCACAGAAGAACCTGTTTGTTACAGTTTAAGCACACCTGCCTGCAATATCTGGCCTCATGCTTTTTGGGATGCACTAGTACTTATCCTTGGCTGGGCTCCTGGCAGCACGTGTGATTTTGCATGTTGCCTCTTTCCAAACTTCATTCTCCTTGTGAGATGCTGAGCTGGAGAGGGAGCACGTCCCCTCCTGGGGTGCCAAGGCAGCACTGGGCAGGCAGCACAGGTCTCTGTTCCACACCAACCCAGTGGCCAGAGACAAAAACGCCCCTTTTGACACGGGAAGCTCTTGAGCATGTGAACTCTGGCTGCTGCTGCGTTCTCTGCTCTGTAGGGAGTTACTGTAACCCTGAACTTCAGAGACTTCTCCTTTTATATTTTTTCAGAAAAAGTTAGAAAACCTGAAGAGTCTAGATCTTTTCAACTGCGAGGTAACCAACTTGAACAACTACAGAGAAAATGTGTTCAAGCTTCTCCCACAACTCACATACCTCGATGGCTACGATCGGGATGACAAGGAGGCCCCAGACTCTGATGCAGAGGGCTACGTGGAGGGCTTGGATGATGAGGAGGAGGATGAAGATGGTAAGAGAATTGTGCTGCTTGGTGTCTGTAAGTTAAGAGATCGATTTGCTGCCTAGTACATTTTGCTTCCAGCTCTGACTTGTTGGCAAGAGAAGGGTGTTCTCAGCAGCTCCTTCCTGACTGGTGTAAAGGAGAAGTACCTCAGTGTCCTCTGAAGGAGCGAGGGGAAAGGAGATGGGCAGGGCCTGAAAGAGCTGCTTTCTCAGTCTTATCCCTAGTGAAAGATTGGGATGACAAAGAAGCCCCGGACTCTGACGCAGAGGGCTACGTGGAGGGCCTAGACGACGAGGAGGAAGATGAAGATGGTAATTGAGTTTGTGCTACTTGGTGTATGTCAGTTGTAAGATTGATACCCTGCATGGTACGTTTTGCTTCCAGCTCTGACTTGCTGGCAGGAGAAGGGTGTCCTCAGCAGCTCCTTCTGACTGATGTAAAGCAGAAGTATCTCAGTGAAGGAACAAGAGAAAAGGAGTTGGGCAGGGCCTGAAGGAGCTACTTCCTCAGCTGTGTCTGTAGTCAAAGGCACTGACTGAAAAGGTGGTAGAAGATAAGGGGCCAGAAGAAGGAGGAAGACACTGAAAGAGTTCAGGGAACAGTAAACCCCAGGGGAAGAGGACGTAAGGAAGAGCTGGGTAAGAAAGGATGGCATGGACACGCTGCAGTATTCCAGAAACAGTATGAGCAGGGAAGTATGAGCATTTGTGTAGATCCTGATGGAGAAAGGAAGGATGAAGAACCAGGTAGGGCATAGAGCAAGTAGCCGAGTCAAGAATCAAGAAGCCAAGGCATTAACAGGAGACTGCAGCTGCTCCTTGAGGACAAAGGGAGCTGGTTGGTTTGGGGCAGAAGAGAGGAGGGGGTGTCCGTTGAGGTCTGCCTGGGGCAAGCTCTGTGGAAGGAGCAGCGAGCAAGTTCTCAGTGCTGGGGGAAGGCAGGACGGGCCCCGATGCGCCGGAGGGGCTGTTGCTGCACTCGAGGCGGCCGCACAGCAGCTGCTGAGCATCCGGCTGAGTGGGAGAATTTGCTGGACTCCAAACCCAGCTGCACAGCAAAAGCAGAATAGCTGGACTTGCAGTTTTCCCTCGAGTGCTGAGTGTGAGCTCTGGGGAGAGGGGCTGCACAGGGCCTGGCAGCCTGCTGCATCCAGCCAGGTTCCGCAGGGACAGGCTCTTCTCCTCGGAGCACAAGTCTGGGCCTGGGTTCAGATGCATGAAAAGCTCCAAAACACCATTCCTGCAGCATGGAAATACAATATCTGGTTTGTTGCTTGGGCTAGTTGCATTTGATCTCTTTCCTCTTGAAAAAGAGATTGCAAACCCCTAAGATGGACGACGTGTGGCCTTCTTGTATCGCTCGGGGACAGTTCCCAGTGCATGGTTGGCTTGCGAAGTTCTGCTCTACCCCTGGTGGGAGCAGGTGGACACTTGCAGATGAAGAGGTGCAAGTGTCCCACGGGCTCAGAAATTCATATTAGTAGTGGGAAGGGGAGCAGCTGAACCTAAAGCAGTCTTGAGGCTGCTGTGCCTTTCTGTCAAGACTCCTGCAGCCCTGGAGCAGCTCAGACCATGGGTGCAGCTGCCACACTACCCTGTCTCCAGGCAGGAGAGGCACAGGATGGCATCTAGCCCTGTCTGGCAGCTGGGGAGCTGCCTTTGATTCTGTCCTGCCCTTAAGCAGGGCTTTCAGTTTCCTGCCTGTGTGGGTAGGAGGTCACAGGTGGCAATGTTTGGGGGAGAAAAGTAAACTTCAAATGTCTAAGTGGTTAATCTTGTTTGACTACAGAAGAGGAGTATGATGATGATGCTCAGGTAGTAGAAGATGAAGAAGACGAGGAGGAAGAGGAGGAAGGAGAAGAGGAGGATGTGAGTGGAGAGGAAGAGGTAAGGATTTATGCAGTTAATAGTGGGTGTGGAGTGGGAATAGGTGGCCAAGAAATGAACCAAATATTGGAGGGTTTCAGTAAGTGAAGTACTTTTTATCTTGAGAAGCCTGGCTGGGGGTGGCTTTGAGGCGTGCCTGTCTAAGAGCCAGCTGCCATCTAGTGACCACTGACATGAAATCCTTCTGGATGTTGGGCTGTCAGAACATGCCATCAGACCCACTTTGTAGTGTCTGTGCAGGGCTAGGGTTACAGCCTCTGCCCCCAAGAGAGGGGTACAAGAGCTACTGCCCCTGTGCTTTCAGAGTAAGGTTCCTCCTTGGGCAGGTACCTGGTGGTTCTCCAGGATGTTCAGAGTCTCAGTGCAGCACAGCTCCTGTGTGTGGGGTGTGATGAGCTGGTCACAGCCTGCTCACATTCTGCTGTCAGCACAACCACAGGGAATGGGGCTAAAATTGGGCTGTAGGAGGTTTGTGTGGTCTGTCCTCTGGCCAAGCAGTCTTTGATACTGAACTGCCACTCCTGGAGGGTTGGTCAGCCTGTTCCCAAAACCAACAGCAGCTCCTGGAGGCGTTTGCCCATGTTTTAACCCTCTTTGTCCCCAAAACATATCTTCTCCTCTTGACCAGCCATCTTGCTAAGCTCAGGGCATCATAACAAAATTTGCAGCTATTGGCATAAAGTATGAGGCTGTTTTCCCGCTGCAGCCTTGAAGCCAGAAGTGGTTGCTCTGATTGTTTCTGATTTTCTGCAGTGAAACTTGGGCCAGAGTCCAGTTATTCTGGAGCGAAAAAACCTGCACTTACATAAGAGCGTGGGAAGCGTCTGCCTTTTTGTTTGGGTTTTGTTTAAGATGCTTCAAGGACTTTGTTGTAAAATTCTGTTGAATATCTGCAAATCTGTGACTGTGAGCAGGCCTGCACTCAAACTGACATTTTTTATCCTCCCTTTTTTTATTTTTTCACCCCAGGAGGATGAAGAAGGCTACAACGATGGCGAGGTCGACGACGACGAAGACGAAGAAGAGCCCGGTATGGCAGGAACCTGCTTTTTGCTAGAGATAAACAATATAGAAAGAATTTTAATTTCTTTTATTGCTGAAGAAGCAGCTTGCTGAACTTGTTCAGCTCCTCAGCAGCACTCACAGGGTCCTGTGCTGTTTTGTTTCCTAGATGAAGAGCGGGGACAGAAGAGAAAACGAGAACCCGAAGACGAAGGGGATGAAGATGACTAAACTGAATAACCTATTTTGAAAATTTCCTATTGTGATTTGACTGTTTTTACCCTGTATTTCCCCTCCCCACACCCCAACCTTTTTTTTTTTTTTTCTTCCCCCCCCCTTTTCTTTTTCCTCCTGATTGTAATGTTGCTGTGGGAACGAGAGGGAGAAGCAGACTGGGTGGGCAAGGGAATAAAATACTATTTTTACTGCCACTCCTCCTCCTATTCATTTTAAATTGTTTTCTTTTCACCCCTCTCTCAGTCCCTGTAACTGCAATAGTAAGTATAAACCAAGTGGTAATTTGTTTCTTATTATTGGAGTGGATAGTTTGCCATCTTTCAAAACAAGACATAAAAAAAGTTCCAAAGATGAGTGGATGATACCCCAAGCAGACAAGACTCTCTTTGGAGGCAGCTGAATAGACTTGGTTGTTGGGATTTTTCCACTGCTGCCAGTCACTAAATACATTGTCAGCATTTTTGGGGGGGATGCTGTGAGTTGAGAGCATCCATCCCTCCACAGCAACGGGGGTGAGAATGGCATCTGGAGCAAGTGATTTCTTTGTTGCCTGTCCATGAATGACTGCCATTTTCAGCCAATGCTTTCCCTGCTTCTCTAGGTACCTTTTCTTTTGCAGTTTGTAAATAGTGACCAAATGTTTTTGTTGGGGTTTCTTTTGGGGTGTTGGTTTTGTTGGGGCTTTTTTTTTTGGGGGGGGGTGTTCCTTTAAATCTGGTTTGTGGGGTGAATTTGCAATCCCCCCCTTCTCCCTCCCTGCCCTGTGTGTTGTGTGTTTTTCCTTTCTGTTTGTTTTTGGGTTTTATTTTGGGTTGGTTGTTGGGGTTTTTTTGGCTAGGGTATAGCCAATACACTGAAAATGGCAGGCATTGAAATATATATATATAAATATATATAAAAAGTGTTTCTAATTCCTGAGTTACTAGTGAAATGAATTTGACAATTGTAATAAAAAACAAAATGTTTCAACCCTTTTAAATAAGGTGTGTACTATTTTGGTCTGTAATATATAACACCTAGTCAATTTTAAGTGATGAGAAACTACTTCCACTTGTGCTATATACTTTGAAAATTTTTACAAACCTAAATACAGGAGGCAGTTCAGCATGTAGGGTAGGAGGTTTCTTTTCATACACTCAAGCACGAGATACTAATACAAAATTGTATTTTCTTACCTAGTGGAAGTCAGTAAAATGACTGAAAAATACCTAGTGAATGTACAGTTTTACTTTCATATCCCTCTTTAAAATAGCTTTAGAAGTGACTTGTATTTCCTAGTCAATATTTCATCTGTATAAATACATTTGCAACAGTTTTTTTGGGTTTGTTTTTTTTTTGTTGTTGTTTTGGTTTTTGTTTTTTTTTCCCAGAAGAGCCAAACTTTGAGTTTTATGTCTGTTTGTCATTGATGAATTTCAATAAATCTTTTTATACAATTTTTTCTGTGGCTTATTTGAGTAAAATGGGCCACTGGGAAGGAATGGCATACCTTTCAGAAAAGGCATTTACTGAGCTACTCTGGTCAATTCCCTGGTATTTTTAGTAGGCTGATGATCTGTTTTGCTCCATGAAAACCTCCTCTTAGCCACGGTGGGGTGAAACCAAGGGAGAGGTTGTGGCTTGAGTACAAATAACAGTAATGCTATTTTTCTGTCAGAATGAGGGTTTCTCCTGGTTGTTGCAGTAAAGCATGTTCACTTCTGCTGTTTAATCCTGTCCCCTGTTTATCCAGGCCCAGAAGGAAGAAATCTGGATTGCCTTGGTGCGAGGGCGGTGCTGTGGTTCAGCCTGTGAGTTTGGGGTTAGTTTATCTGGGAGTTTTGGGCAGCAAAGTTAAGGGCTGTTGGCTGTGACTTAGTGCCAGTCCAGAGCCATGTCTCTGGTGAGTGGGTTGTGTGTTGAAGGTGGAGGAGCAAGTTGCACATTCTCTGTCCTCAAAATGGAGTCTCTGTGCAGTGCAAGGGCTTGAGAAGCTGGGGAGGGTCTTCTTCACTGGATCTCTTTGGGGAAAAAAACCACCTTTTTGGTTGATGGGGAGCAGCACTATCCTGAAGTGCTTGTGTAGGGTGGGGTTTTTTGTTGGGCTGGGTTTTTCTAAGAGGAAATCCAGCTGGGCAGACTGCTCCCTCGTAGCCAGGAACCGAAACCATGACCTGGCAGGGCAGGGCCAGGCTCCTGCAAAGCCCAAAGCAGCTGCCAGGCCTGGCACTCTAAAAGCTCAGTCCCAGGCTCCAGTTTGGCCTTGTTCTGGGAAACTCAGTTTCCCAGAGACAGAGCTTTGGATTCAAGCTGTAGGAAGGAATCAGGAGCAGCTGGAGCTGACCTTTCCTGCAGGATCAGCCTCTGCAGATCCCAGAGAGGTGGCAAATAAGGACACTGGGATGAACATCCTCTTTGCCTGCAGCAGATGAGCAGTGCCAGGCTCACGTGGTGCTGCTGAAGTGACACTGGTGTGATCATTGTCACCCGTGGGCTGTAGCAACCCAAGCAGTTTCTCCTCTTACCCTGCAGGCATGCGGAAACCCTTTGGCTCCTCACCCTCTGTAAGCAGAGACTGGCCTGGGTGCCATTTAATAACTCTTCTCTTTGTATCTTTGTATTAATTGTTTTAAAGCTTACTGTGGAATTAATGAGCTTTCTCAAAGAAAGCTGCAGCAGTAGGACCTCTGCTGCCCATGCAGTATTCAGTGCTTCCCTGTTCCCTTCTGCTCTGCCGAAGCACTAAATCCCCAGGGGGCTGAGAGGGAAGGGGAAGGTGGGTATCTGATGACCAGCATGCTTTTGACTGCCTCCTGCCACTGAAAACAAAAAAGGAGGTTTGCCCATGTGGATAATTCCATAATTATTCCCTATTTCATAGTATCTAAGTCCAGTCCTGTCCTGCTGAGAGCCAAGGGCTTGTTTTCCCAAGCTCTCTGTGCACAGAAGTGCTGGCTAAAGGCACTTAGCAACTTATCCATGCTTGGAAAAAACCCAAACCCCAGTGTTTTGTAACAGTTCAGC